GTCCCGTGTGGGGCGAAACTTTTGTTCACAAACCAGCAATCTTGTAAACCTCACAATTGAATTCTACTCGAAATTCATAAGGGTTCGAGAACGTTTTTCTTCCTCTTCTCATACCTTCCCGAAAATGCTTGCTTCATCCCCTTAACTAGTGAAAAGCAGAGAAATTCTGATCTTTTGCAGTGGTGCTGAGGTGCTGGTGTTCACGGAGCCATCAAACCGGGTTATCCATTACGTGGTCGCTACCGCGATGATGATTCTGGCCCAAACGCTGCCATTTCTTATGACCTGATCTCCGATCCCACTGATTGCTTCGGTATCGACCACAAGACTGGTAAGTCGGAGGGTTCAGTGAAATTCGAGGGGATTTTCCCGACAAACATGTGTTTTCTTTAGGTGCACTATCGATGCTGCGACGTCCTCCGTCTAGTGATTCCACCATAGTTGTTCGTGCCAGCGACGAGGGAACACCGTCACTTTTTGTCGATCAGACCCTTACAATACGGTAACAAACTAGAGTCGTCAGGCAGGTGTCAGACTTTGCTAGTAATCGCCAGCATTTCGCGCGATTACGAATATCCGAAGAGCCTCGCAGCGATGCGCTTAGCGATTTTCAGCGACGCGGTCGCCAACCAGAGTCGTGGGGCCGCTTTTGCATCGGAATGCTCAAAATCGCCAGCAAAATCGTGCGGTTCGCCGCGATTAGTCGCAAAGCCTGATACTTGCGCTATTGAAAATCTACCGTATACTTTTCATTGACCGTATTTAGGCTGACAAGTGACAGTAAGAAATGGAGCTATTTCGACGACGACGAGGTTGAAGTGACGATAGCAGACACAGCACCGGCAGGAACAACTATCGCAACGCTGAGTTTAGATGGTTCGTAGTTTAGAAAATTATTTATTGATTTTATTGAATATTCTCGTCACTGTACACATCTCCTCTTCAAGCAACCAGGAAAAAGCAGAATTAGGCTCATAATTCAGACTCAAAACTGAACTCAAAACTGACTCAGACTCAAATTCGTGAAACTTCTTCCAATAATGATTAAGGCCTTGACACTGAACTGAATTCTATGGGTTGGCAAGCGGACGAATCGAAAAGTCAAAGAGTTTGACGTTCCAATTTGAGGATGCGCTAAGCATTGGACCTCGCTCGAATTTGTTGTGACATATGAAGACGTATTTAGCCAATAGAATGACTTGCTTGGTCCAAGAAGAGCTATGTATTGACTCATGCCAAATAATTCTTACTAGACAGTTCTGGGAGCGGTTCTCCCACGCACAAGTGAGGGAGACTTTGCTTGGCTTGGGCGGGATTCGATCCAGGGTTCTGACCCCGTGCCATGCGTTATTGGAACCGGTCGATGCTTGTCGGTAATTTCAACTTTTGGAGGTTTTCGGCATTCAAAGTAACACAGGCTGGGCTGTGCGACAATCGCGCGGGATTTCCTAACGACATGCGCAAAGGTCGGTATTTGCCGAGCCCAATTCAGATGCTGTTCTTGGTCGGCGGATGCATTTATTGCTTATTTTACTTACATTTTGTAAAGTGATTGAAAATATGTACGTGCCACACGATCGCTTGATCTCACGTAGCAAATGCCTTCCTCCCGTGGGCTAACTTAGTTGATGGCGCAGACCTGAAACAAACCGCGGTTGACTTATTTGAGGGTAGTATCACTCCAGATTCCAGTATTTCCACAAGTAACGTTAATTTCTACGTTATAACAAACGAGAATGTGGTGGATATCTACGTTGTGACGCGAGCGGTCGCGTCGCAGCCTAGAACATGGTTGACTGTTTGTATCCGCGAACCTAGTTCTACTAGTAAATGACCCAATGCCGCTCAAAATAAGTACTGTAAGGTCATCTTTGGAGAAGCGGGGACCTTCTGTCAGTGAGTATGGCTGCAGAGCTGAAGTCGGCATTTCCAGGAAAGGCGGCTATTCGGCTGTTCCCATCGACAACAACGTTTAGCATAAACAATTCTGGAAGAATTTCTTTGACCAGTGTCATCACCGTCGGGGTGTTCATCATTTGTCAGGTAGTCGATAAATCAATATGTTGACTTATTTGGTCGACCATTTATTAACGCACGCCTATTTTAGTGCTGGCCAAATCGGATCGTGGTGAGATAGATGCGTTATCAATTGTAGTGCGTGTGATCGAGGCGAAAAAGGCGGGGGCCTCGGATAAGCTCCGCCTCTTGTGGATCGATAACCGTTCCTGAAAATCGTGTTTTGAAAGGCTTCAAACAGATCGTTGCTCTTAATGCCTCTAACAGCACCAAGTTCAGCATACGAGGTTCGGGGGTCACTTTTTCTTCAAGCACTAGATGTTGCTACAGTAATCACCTACAGTATCAGCACTCGGTCTCGTTGCAGGATCCAACAGATTCTTCGAGATCGATCCTTCCACCGGAAAACTGTCCAGCGCTGCGCTTGATCGAGAACAGCAGTCAGAGCACTTGTTGGTGATAGTTGCACAAGACGGAGACATCAACGTAAGTCGTTGATGCTTGTATAAACTACAGTTCCTCAGAATTTCTGTTTAGGACTCTTGCACGGTGCGGATTACGGTGTCCGATGTTAATGACAATGTTCCGCAGTTTTTTTTTTTTTTGCGGCGGCGTCTTACGCTGCAAGCGATCTCAATCAATGATAGCATATCACTGGGGGCAAGGTTGTGTACAAGTAAAGTCCATCAAATCGGCTCAAAAAGCTTTGGAGAGTTGGGGGAAGGGGTGGAGAAAGGGACGATGGGCGGGCATTTGGGACGCGCGCGGTCATGTGGTGCGTTCGTGGCGAGGAACAGAAAAACTCTCATCTTTTTTTTCAAAGATTACTAAAGGAGGGCTATGTGCAAATGGCAAAGCTACGGAAAAACTGCAGCCAACAGGGGAAGTGCAACTTCAGAGTTTTGAAATTATCAATAGAATTGATTGCAGTTGTTGAGTCGTGCCGCGACCGCGCGCGTCCTAGCTCATTATATGCAAATTCTTTTGCATGAATATGTCATTTCGGCTGCAAAATTTTCAAACCCTTGCATGTGAACCTTTCGGAATACTTTATAGTCAGGTGAATTCTGACTAAACCCTATTTTTGGGATTTCTTAGTAACTCTAGCGCACTTTAAATTTTTTCTTCAAACAACCCACCGCTGCCCTGAAGTTCTTTGATACTGTAAAATCAGAGTATTTTACAGTATCCCCAGCTTACGATATCTTCTTAGATTCACCGCGTTCGATCACGACGTTGGAGCAAATGGAAGAGTGCTGTTCGACTTAATCGAAGACGCAAGTACGGCATTCGATCTTGTGCCAGAAACCGGTGACCTCATCTTTGTCGGGTGGGTTTTTCTATCTATGTTGTGTGAATGGTGCAGCGACAGCAAGCGCTGTACAGGCGATGCATCTGCTCAACGGATCGGCTCACCAATGGCTCGGGCCATCAAGCTGGATCAAACAGTCTTTCTCTCATCGGGTAGCAGGTAGAATTGTCCTCCAGCCGCACCGTCCTTCTACCCTCGTGATCACCGCTGTCGGGTTTGATGCAATTTTTGCGGACGGGGAATCTTAATATGGGTGACGGTGGAATTCTGAAAATCACTGAGACTAGAAGCCTACCAGTAGCGGTAGTAGTAGCGATATGGTGACACAAATAAGCGCCTACAGGGTTCCTTACCCCCGAGCGCTCGCACAACTTGACATTTTTGGTGGAGCCTCTCATTTGCTGCCAAATTATCAGCAAAACCTTTCAAGGGTTATCAGGAAAAGAAGGCTGATCCTAAATTAGGGCAGGGGGATTATCAGTTTATTCCTCGTATCTCAATCGTAGGTGGAGGCTTTACTGCTTGGGCTGGCTTTCACCTTGACCTCACAGTGACCATCACTAATCTATCCATTTACATAGTACTGATGAGATGGTAGTGATGCAAATGAAAATCATTTTCTGAAAAAAATTCAAATGCGTGGCGCATCCAAAATAGGACTAGTTAATGCCGTACGCTTAGAGCCAGCAGTTAAAATCTTCCCGCATTCTATATTTGTATCCAGCAGTGCCAGGAAAAAATTCAGTATGAGATTTTGCGTGAATAAAGCGTGCATGGCGTATTCACCCAAGCACCCAAAACAATGATGCTATTGACGTCTACCATTCTTTTCAGAGAGCCGAGTGGTGTCGGGAATGATTGGATGATTCGAGTGAGGGTTTACGACAAAGGAAGTTCCATCGCTTGGCGTTGACCGCCTGTTCAGAGTCCAGAATTCACGCTCCTCCGCTACACAACCACCAGACGCTCAGCCGAGTTTCCTCCGGCAGAAATATGTCTCATCGATTGATGAGGGATTAACGCGTGGACAAGTCGTCTCAAGGGTAAGAGGCCGCTGTCCCATAAATCCTGCACCACCTCAAAGTAAATCTTTCCAGGTTGCGACATCATCCAGAGATGCGCGGATCACTTACAGCATCGTCGAGGGAAATACTGACAGCGCTTTCGAGGTGGGATTGATTTGAATATATTTCGATATTAAAGGCAGTGGACACGGTGGCTCGAGGGCGGGACGGTTTTGATGACGTCAATCCGACGTCAATGGATAGACGACTTCTAAGCGTGTTAGGGAGGGGGGGCGAGGGGTGTTGTAGGGACCATCCTCAACGTTGACGTCATCGTAACCACTCCGTCCTCCAGCCACTGCTTTTGTTCACTGCTTTTATTATATTTTAATATTATCAATACAAATTTAGGTCGATGGTGACGGTGTGGTCCGAACTTCACAAGAATTAGATTTTGAAATCAAAGAGCGCTATGACCTGAAAATCATCGCTACGGGAGCGTTCCCCAGTCAGATTCAGACTCATCTGACCGTTGACGGTGAACTTTTTCGGCTTCACTTGCTCAAATCCAAATTCTCCCTTTAGCCCTTATTTGTGTTTCTTTCAGTCAATAATATCAATGACAATCCACCTGTTTTCCCGCGGCAACGGAAAAAGAAAGTTCTAGAAAGTAGGTGTTTTGGACGAGTTCTCCAGTGATACTCTTTTTCTTCGTGGCATTATCCAATATTGTAGCTCTTCCTGTTGGATCGTATGTGACTACGGTAACCGCGAACGATGCCGATAATCTGGCCGCTCTAGAATACAGTCTTGACACGAAGGAGGAACGGTTTGTCATAGATCGGTGAGTTAATATTCACTATTGATCGCTTTTTGTCTGTGAATCGATCGAACAAGTCAGCGATCGATTCTTAGGCAAGGCTGTGTCGAGCTCCGAGGCCCTTTGGGTTTACTGCTAGGAAACAAGTGGGGGTTGAAATAAGCCGATTTAGGTTCACTGGAGTGGTACATCTGGTCACAGCTCTGGACTACGAAACGCTCGAGGAGATTAATGTCGACGTGAAGGTTGGTCTTTCTGTTTTCTATTCCAATGTCCATACCGTGATTGGAGTTGGAAGCCCTACCAAGACGACTTTTGAAAACTATCTGGACTTAGCATGCTATAGGTAAGGTAGCTGTGGCAGGAGGCGCCGCGTCGCAATACCGACCTGTATGATGGGGTCCCATCGACGCAACGACACATCGGTTTGGTCTAGGACTTTGCCTCCAACCATCTCTGTATTCAAAAGCAAAAACCCAATGTTATCGCTGAGTGTCCATACCTTGGCATTATCTCACTTAGTAACTTTACCCTTCCGGTCATTCACGTTTAGATGTCCAAAAGCAAGACCCATCATTGTTTCGCAATGAAATCACTTTTTTAGGTGACAGATGGGAATTTCACAGCGACTACCTCGTTCCTGGTCGTCGTAATGGATGTCAACGATAACGCACCCGAGTTCCAACAGCGCATCGTCGATTTGAAAGTCAGTTCTCTTCGCAAATACATTTACTCTTAGATATCACAGAAATCTCAGGGCTTAGCGAAGCTGTTCGCCCCGAGCGGGAATCGTACCTGCACCTCTCGCTTCTCGAGCACTAGCAGTGACACTTGAGCCGCGCCTCACCACCAACTTCGCTCTAAGGAGAGCTTTATTCGGGTTTTGTAGACGCCTCTGTCGCATGACCCCATAAACATGCGATACCCACCAGGTAACACACGTTGGTTACCTGGTGGGTTACCCAGTGTATGGCGAAATACACGTGCAGCGTATAAATCGGAAAAGATATCAAACAACTCAATTCGTTCAATTTTGAGATAATATTCTTTTAGAAGGATACCAAATATGACCCGCTTACCATCTGCCTCCCTTGTAGCTAGGTAACGTTACAAATGTCTTTGAAAAGTTCGGAGCCCAAATGGAGTTATGAAATCCTCTTCCGATGCGTCTATGACCCCTATATAGAGATCTTACCGATCAGTATGAAGTGCAATACTAACATAATTTTTATCAACTAACACTTCTAGTTGGATAATTTCGAGTTGCTACAGACATTTCTTCTACAAAGTATCCGAAATTTGT